CAGGTCACACTGATTTATTTTTAAAAATGACCATTCTCTGAAGTTTTGGGAAGTGAGAGCTATTGTGATCATGGTATGATATATAAGGTAGTATTTGACCGTAGGGGATTTATGAATTCCAGACTGACTCACCTGCACCATTCCAACAGCGTCCTGAATGATGAAGTCATATTTGAGACTGTAGATTTTTTTTCATTCCCATCTAAGTAGACAATGTTATAGGCATATAGTGATAAATCGAGCACTTTTTAAGTGGGAATGTACTTAAGAGTTTCTGGACGTATCTAAGGGAATTGAATATATTGGGGAAAATACAATTCTTTGGGTTGAAGTTCGATGTAGCTTTAAGAGAACACTCCAGAAGATTATGCTCTTGAATATCAAGGGAGAAAGGTAGTCATTCAGAGTTCTTTGTGTGCTTCCACTTGAACCCAGCTTCAAGAGGACAGCCTTTGACTTAGATAATCCTGGGCTTCTAACCAGTTCTGTCTAGTTTAATCATGGCTGAGGAAGCAAACCTAAAAGAGGCCTGAATATTTGGAAGCTGGACCAGGAAAAGTTATGGATTAGAATTCTGTTATAAAACTTAATCTCTTTCAGAAAACAAAGGCCTAGTGCACATGCACATTGCATAGCAGCTAAAATCTAAGGCCTTTTGCATTCTTTCCAGAGACAGAAACAGTGGTGCCTCCATCAGAGATGGCGGTTCACTACTGCTTTGAGTGCATGCAGCTCTCCACAGTCCTGCCATTAATCTGGTTTTATGAATTAAGCTCCTGCAAGTGCTCGTGCGGCTTCCACCTGTAATTTTTGCTGTCTAGTGACCATTCCAAATAAAATAAATTTAAAAATTAGAGTTTCTTCAGAGACTTGCAACTTGTTGGATAATCCTTCGGAGATTAGTGTGAGTGAGGAAATGGCTATAAGACTGACTGAAAGCATAGTACTGGTGTTAAAGCCACTTGTCTCATGTTGGCTCAGTGTTTCAAGATGGAAGTCAGTCAGGCTTGGCTTCTCAGGACCTTGTAAAAGCTAGTGCAGAGTTTGTGGGTCTGTCTGTTTATTCAGAATCTCATACCCTTGTTACCTGACAGTCAGAATCCTGTCAGACTCTGGGAGTGGTGGTGGGAGTGATGGAAATACTAACCAGAAGGCTCTTGGCTGCTTTTCAATTGGCATTAACTGTGTTGCATTCAGTACCACATTATCAGAACAGCTATGTGAAATAAGATATTCCTACTTCATGGGTTTATCAGTGCAGTCAGTTACTGAATATTTACCTGATGTTGGGCACTTAAAAACATCACAGCAGTCCTGAATGATACAGATATTTACATCTGTAATACCTGAACAATAAAGATATTTATCTCTTTTTACAAATAAGAATGTGACACTGGATATAAGCAACCTCAAGATTAGAGTTAAGAGGACTACTAGATTTAGGATTCATTGAAGCCAGAACTTTTATGACACAATCTCTTTTTCGAAGGAAGTCAATTTGTGGAAAGAGATTTTGTTATCTTTGTGTTCAAATGCCCTAGTAAGTGTTCAGTATTTGCTGAATTAATGAACAAATTAACTTGTCTAAGATTCTATTAACTTAGGTTTTATTGGTAAATTTAGTCTAGTAACACTTGGGAGTGTGACTGTGATGAACTTCAAATGGGCCAGAGGAGACCAAAAGAGTTGACAACTTTGAATAGGAGATAAACCTGGCAGGTTTACAGTTTGTCTTAATTATATTTTCAGTCTAGTAGCAATAGAGACTTGCTTGGCTTCTTCTATTTAACACATTGCTGCAAATGTGTTTCTAAGCACGGTCGTCAATTTCAAAAGTGTGCAGCAACGGGTTAAGCTGCTGTTACTTTTGTGTAAGTTTTTCATCCTAACTTTTCATGAGTTGTACATTGATAAGTTTTCCAATATTTTATAGAAGAGGAGCTTGTAAGTGATTTCTGAAAGGTTGTCCTCTCTGAAAGAGTTTTAAGAAATTTCTGAAGGGTTATGCAATCTTGACATTTATCTGAAATTTATTTGTTTACTACTTTGGAGGTGAAGTGTATGTATAGTCCATTAAGTGCTTAGGTATCTTCATAAATTTTGACTTGTTTATAAGAGTTAACTTTCAGTATAGTTTAGATTTTAAAAAGATAAAATAAGGGAGCTCTGGTAGCCCAATGTCAAGAAACTGCATTGCAATCCCTAAGGTGCATGGTTCGATTCCCACAGATGGTCTGCTGGAGACGAATGGGCAGTTAGTCTCCCTGTACCAGTTCACACACACACACACATAAAAAGAAAATAGAACTGTATTGCTTAGGGGAGCTCTAGTGGCCTTGGGGGTAAGGAGTTGATCTGACTCAACTCAGGCATTAGCAGCTCTCAGGGAGAAATGGACAAACTTCTCCTTTGGAATTTACAGCCACTGAAAACCTAGATGTTTTATTCCACACTTGCTAGGTGAATGTGTACAGTTTGTTGATTAAGAGGGCAAGCCGGAAGTTTGTTCTTTATGAAAGACTGTTACACATTTCTTAATAATTGAGTATTAAAGATTAAATATATTGAATAAATTGAAGAAAAGGTAATAATTGAAATTTCACTTGAAAATGGTAGTCAGAAAAATAGATTTGCCAGTTACGGTTGGGAATTGGCAATATTTATAAGAAATGAGATTGTAAATTATTAACATTTTAAAAATTATCCACTTGGATTTTGATTTGCATTATCATAAAAGTTACTCTTTGGGAGCTCTGGTGGGCTGGTGGCAAGAAGCTGCACTGCAATTCCAGAGGAACACGGTTCGAATCCACCAGACGCTCTGCCGGAAAAGGAGGCGCAGTATCCTCCTGTACCAGTCAGATCTGATTTGACAGTACACGCACACACACACACACACACACAAAAAAAGTTACTCTTTGTGATATATCTAATGTTTTCTGAAACTGATTTTTTTTAAAGTACAATGTATGGAAACACTAGTTGATGCAATTATGACATTAACAAAGTGGCTGCAATAGCTGTAAGAACAACAATTTGAGAGTGTGTTGCAGGACTAGACAATGTATCTTTTTGTTTCCTGGAAGACTGCTGTTAGTCAGAACTGATACTTTTGCCTCCAGTTTTTTATTTAGGTGTGGCACACATGTTCTACTTTGTTGCTGCATGTGATGGTGGTGTGTCCTGGAGTTAGAACTGACCTATAGTTTACACTTCACTTTTCAGAAGCAGTAGTGCAAAAGAGGAGATGGCTTATCTTTCTCCTGTGGAGCAGCTGGTGGATTTCAGCTGTGTTCTTTTGGGTTGGCAGCGCAACTCCTTACCACTAATTCACTAGAACTCCCTGTGACTGCATGGAATTGTATATTTATAGAACATCCCTAAAATAATATGAATGTTCTTATAAAAAGAAGTCATCTAGAACATGGTGTAGGCAGTTTTTCAGTGATGAGCCAGATAATATTTTCAGCTTTGCAACTGCTCTCTGCTGTTGCATGGAAGCGTCCATGATAAATACATAAATGAATGACTTAACTTTCATTGTTCCAATGAAACACTATTATTGCTGAAATTTGAGTAGTGTTATGCTAGAAAACGCTATTTTGATTTTCCCCCCAATCATTTAGAAATTGTAAAAACTGTTCTTGAGCTCTATAAAAATGAGCTGGGGATTGGATTTTGCTGACATTTCACCTAGAATATTTCTTGTTGAAATAATCTTCAAGGAGCCCTAGTACATTAAGCAGCTAAACTGTTTATTTAAAGGGTACTGGTTTTAATTGTTTAGTGGCCCCTTAAGAGAAAAAGCCCTGCAGCCTGTACCTGTGAAAATTGCTGTTTTCTGTAGAGTTGATTTCAGCTCGGCAACCCTATAGATTCTGTGTAGGAAATGCTATGGGCCAGTTCTGCCCTGCTCTATAAGGCTGATGTGAGTTGAAATCTACTTGGAGTCATACACAGCAAAGCAGTTTTAGCCAAGATTAGCTGTATGCTTTCTGTTTCATTTGCATTGAAAAGTTAACTCACCCACATTTAAAATTTGGGGAGTGATACTGAACTTAAAGGATAATTGTCTTTTTCTATTAAGCTGTATCTTTAGGGTCTGTGATGCTCTTAGATGTCCGAGGCTGCGTGCACGCTACACTGATTGGCTTACTGTTTGCCTACCCTGCACCCCGTTTATGATGGGGATTGAGGATTGCAGTTATTCCCCAGGAACAAGAAATTTCCAGTTAGGGGAAAACCAAACCAAACCATCTGTATCTTTGGCAGTAGTGTAAATTGGTAGCCATTCAACTTAATATATACTAATGGAAGACTGCAGTTGGTGTAACATTACTATATCTGCTCACTGTAGATTCTGAGTCATAGTAACCCTCCACTGGGTTTCTGAAACTAAGTCACAATGAGAAGAGATTACTCAGCTCTCTCCCTTGGAGTCCCTAGTGGGTTTTTCAAATAGCTAGAGATGCATAGTCTTTGGATTAGCAGTGTTTCTTGTTATGGACCCCCTCAGTACATACATGTGATTTTAAAATTGTTTATTGTAGACAAGTTAATCTGAATGTATTGGGTAGTATTTGGGGAAAAGTCTACCACAGGAAGAAAAACTTAAATTTTTCATTATCTTTAGGGAAGTTGAAGGTAATACGGGCATTTCTCCCCCCCAACCTCCCTACTCAGAATTAGAGTTTTTAAAATATAGATTGAATTGGCTTCCCAGGGTAATGCTGAACATTTGATTCTTTTGATTTAGCTCACACATTTGTGCTTTCTCTTTATGGTATTATATCTCTTTGCTGTAAAATCAGCTTGCTGTGTCAACCAAAGGTTTGCCTTTTGACATTGTACACGTCATGCTTGTTAAATTCTTATGTGTGTTGGCACCTTGACTGCAGTCCATGTTTCATTTCTAAATCTGCCACAGTGGCAGTAAGTTTGTTGTTCCTTCCTGAACTTTTGTACCAAATCTTGATTCTGTGTCTTTATCTTGCAGTATGTTCACGCTGATGCTCCTACCAATAAAACACTGGCTGGGCTGGTGGTGCAGCTTCTCCAGTTTCAGGAAGATGCCTTTGGGAAGCACGTTACCAACCCGGCTTTCACCAAGCTTCCTGTAAGTATGTCAGTGTAGCATTGGCACGTCTATTACTTGGATTCTTGGTCGTAACCTGCAGATGTTTGTATTGCTGCTACTAGTTAAAGAATTTAAAAAAAAATGTGTGTAGTACCTTGGCTTTTTTTTTTCTTGTTACGTACCCTCAAGTCGGATTGTGCTGACACCGGAGGAGATTGCTCCTCCTCCAGTGGAGCATCTGGTGGATTCCACCCGCTTGCTTTTGGGATTGCAGCACAGCTTCTTGCCACTAGGCCATCAGACCTGCCTCAGGACCCTTATGTTGTGTATCAGAGTTGGAGCTGACCCTCTTAGTAAGTTTTCAGAAGCAGTAATTCACACAAGAGGAGATTGCATTCTTCCACAGAATAGCTGGTAGATTCAAACTGCATGCCTTTGGGATTGCAGCCCAGCTTCTTGCCACTAGGCCACCGGAGTGCAAATGCATTAGAACTTGTCACAGAATATGGATTGTTTTTTAAAGAAAAGGCATTTATTATTTACACCACTGAAATTGTCCTGAAAGAACAGTATATACCATATTTGTTTGAAAAGATCAGACTTTTTTCAAATACAGTAACTATATAAAGCAATACTGTCAACACAAAACAAGTAGTCAAATTACTTATCTATAGTGAAAGCTTAAGCAATGCAGTTTTTCTTTGACTTCTGTGGCAGTATTTTTACTGAAGCACAGTGTTGGCACATAGGCAAATTACAGCTTTAACAGAACAGTGACTTTTATTTATGCTTTTTAGGGCTGAATCAGAGATATGTCTCACTTTAAGATTGAGTGCCTTTAATTACTTTTATGAGAATGGTTTGCCTTGACAAAGGCAGAGGTGCTTCAATTTAAGACACCAAAGACAGACATTCATTGTGTTAGTCTTAAGTATTCTGTTTTTCATACTGTGATGTATCTCTACCACAGCTGACATTTTCCAGTTTTATTCAAAGAGTACTGGCACACATACAGAGCAAACTGAGGCAACTCAGGGTTTTGGGGTTTTTTTTAACATTTCCACCGTAGATTTTATTAAGAAGGTAGTTACGGAAGTGGTGACTGGCAACTCAAAATTTAGAAATCTAAGTAATACAGACAAGAATTTGGCAATGACAAAGGAATGAAAAAAATCTTAGCAGTTTAAACAAATTAAGAGGTCTCTTACGCCAAAATTTTTTTTTTTTGGCTGTAAAGGGAAAAACATTAGTTTCAAGGTGTGTTTGTCCTGAGAATTAGCGAGACAAAACCATAGTGAAGCAAAAGCCAAGATAATAAAACTTGTTTCTAAAGTCACAGAATAGCATTGTTCAGTATGCATTTTCCTCCCTTTTTTGATGGTGGTAGTGCAGGGGTGAGGAGAGTAGTTAGTAATCAGTGCTGGAGAAAATATTTTCTCAAGAATAACAATATATACATATGGGGAAAATGGATTTTTATTTTGTTGTTTTTGTTTACTGCCATGATCTTAAAAAAAATATAAAATTTAATTTACAAAAAGTGGAAGACAACGTATAAGCAGTCAGGTCTTTTCTTCAGTACCCAGCACTATCATAGTGGTTTCTGGGATAAAAGCAAGAAGTTCATGGATCTCAAGTATCTTCAAAGCAGCCAGTATAACTTAAAATTACTGTCCTTGATTCTTTGAGAGGTATCTTTCTTATTTGTGGTTTAGTTCTAAAAAGTCATCTAATTTTGCTATTTTCTTTGAGATACTGAGTTAATTTAAAAAGCTCATTATGTTTATCTCAATTTAGGTGTGCTTTCATAAAAGGTCCTGTCTTTAGTCCATTCTGTAGGTTCATCAGAAAATTTCTACCTATGTCATCAAACATAATTGTGTTATTTTCTTTTTTTACCCCTATAAAACTCCAAAACCTTACCCCATATAACACCAAGAGGTTTTACATCTATTAATCCTCTTCTTGGAGTATGCACTGTTATCATAGCCCTATCCAACATGAAGGTAATCTTACAGTTTGCATTTGTACTCACTCCCAACTCTTTCATTTTAGCTTCAGTCCATATTTGTTGCAGACCAAATGACAATGTCATAATCCTCATATGCTGATGTTAGGAATTCGTGAAGGTATGGTTGCATTAGTTCTACCCCAGTCTCTGCACAAGACCTGTGGTCAAATAATGTTTAATCAACATCAGGTGGTGGTGGTGGTGGTTTGGTGCCATCGAGTCATAGATGACTCATAGTGACCCTATGAATGAAAGCCCTGAGCTCTGTTTGTACTTAGAGTTTCCGGAGGCAGGCCATTTCGGAAGTGGATGCTGCTCCTGCTTCCAGGCTTGATTTAGTCGGGAAGCTCCAGCCAACACTGTCCACCATGGGTACCCATTACCACGATTGGCACATCACTGTCACAGTCTTCAGCATCACAGCAACCACGAGTTACCTCTGTACAGCAACGCACAGACCAGTGCTATACCACCTAGAAGAACGTTTGACAGGAAAACAATTTGAACCTGGCCGAGGGCCGCAGATGAAAATCACCCACCTTCCGCTTGGTAGCATAACTTCCTTTCCACTGGGCCAATGTAGCTCTCTCTTTGTCGTTGTCGTTGTCCCCTGGGAGGAATTAGAGTTTCCACTTTACTCGTTAACTCTTCGAGAAATTTTCAGTAGATTTTCTTCTCTATTTTCTACTTTAACTACTTCATCTTCGATATCAAAGTTGTTAACAACAAACATCATCATTGTCGGGGTGGACCTAAGACATCTTCCTTTGAGTCCAAGTAATTTCTGGCATTTGGGCAGCACTCCTGTAAGGGTCTTGAGAAACTGAGCTCTAGCACAGTATCGTCTTCTGAAAGTGTCGTCACTGGATATTCCTGTCTTCCTCACTTTACAATAAAAGGACTGGCCATCCTTGAAACAAATGATTAGGAAGCTTTCAATCAGAATATTTTTTAATTTTTATTATTTTTTTAAATTTTGTTATATTTTGTGTGTGTACCGTCAAATCTGATCCGACTGGTACAGGAGGAGAGTGCCCCTCCTTTTCCAGCAGAGCATCTGGTGGATTCGAACTGCATGCCTCTGGGATCACAGTGCAACTTCTTGCCACTGGGGCACCAGAGTTCCCTAAGAAAAAAATTTTTTTAATAAAACAAACTATTCCTGGAGTATGGTGGAGCCAGGGACAGCAGACGTCAGAAGTAGCCACAGTAGAAGCGCAGAATATTGATTTAAAAAAAAAAAATTTAATTGATTTTTATTAGGAAACTTCTCAATCACTTCACATCAACAGTTGTTTTGTAGATTTGACTGTTTGCACTTTACGCTGTTCCATCCCTATATAAGACAAAAACTCCAAAACCTTCTCTCTTCTAGTCAGTTCAAACTAATGACAGCCCTCCATGAGTTTTCAAGATTATAAATCTTGAAATGACTGATTCATCTTTCTCGTACAGTGACTGGTGGATTTGAATCCTTTTGGTTAACGGCCCAGCCCTTTAATGCAGTATGTCACCAGGGCTTTTTGTAGTCCACCATACCATGTCTTTTCAAGTCTTCTTTAAATATGATTAGAATGCCTTTTTTTTTTAAATTTTGATGTGTTGTAAGTAGAATATAAGCTTATTTGAGAATATAATTGTGAAGACCTTACAGGTGCATTGATCATCCAACTTAATTTATAGATAGTATTTATTTGTTTCCTTTTTAAATCTTTTTTTGTTGTTATTTTTGTAAGAATATATACAATTTTAGTTCTTGTTGAATCTACACAGCAAAATACAACACTAATTCAGTAGTTTCTAGATCTTAAATTCAGACATTGATTACATTTCTTTGAGTCATGCATCTAGTCTTCATTTCTGAATTTATTTCTTCATCAAACTCACACTTCTGACTCAGTAACAATCCCATATAGGTAGATCTAAAAGGGCATGATATTCAGGTCAAACATTCTTTACTAGTTTAGCCAGATCGGTTGATTTAAGATATCAGGAGTTATGTTTGGTTGAGGCTTAAAGGTTGACTGTCTTCACACCCATGTTTTTGTTTTTGTGTTTTTTTTTATAATTAT